CTCACCAATATACTGTTGAACTGTTCAAATAAGACACTCACCTGAAACGTGTAGTTTTTGAACTAATGAGAATACATACTTAGGTAATTGTCAACTGAGTGAATCAGGTTAGTATTGTACTTGAACAACATTTCGGTGAATAAATGGCTGGGTCCACCCATAAGTTCCGCAACAATCCACTCGTTTGTACTTGAATAACTTGTCACAATATATTACTGGTTTAGTAAAGTAACATTACTAATTCCTGTTAAAAGGCCAATTGACAAAAAGTGGATATTCTTGCAAATTCTGACTTTATATAATAAGTTATTGTTCAAGTACAAATAAGTGGATTGTTGCGGAACTTATGGGTGGACCTCTGCGGGACGAGCGCAGCGAGTTCCGCAGCCATCTAATCACCAATATACTATTAAACTGTTCAAGTAAAACACTTATCTGAAATGTGTGATTTTTAAACTAATGAGAATAACGCACATTTGAATGAGTCAGTTTAGCATCGTAATTAAACAACATATCGGTGAATAGATGGCTGCGGAACTGCGCTCGTCCCGCAGAGGTCCATTTATGAGTTCCGTAACAATCTAACTCTTTACTCGTTTGTACTTGTAACTTATCACAATATATTACTGGTTTGGTAAAGTAACATTACTAATTCCTGTTGAAAGGCAAATTGACAAAAAGTGGATAATCTTACAAATTCTGACTTTATATAATAAGTTATTGTTCAAGTACAAATAGGTGGATTGTTGCGGCAATTATGGGTAGACCTCTGCGGGACGAGCGCAGCGAGTTCCGCAGCCATCTACTCACCAATATACTGTTGAACTGTTCAAATAAGACATTCACCTGAAACGTGTAATTTTTAAACTAATGAGAATAACGCATATTTGAGTGAGTCAGTTCAGTATCGTAATTAACCAACATATTGATGAATAGATGGCTGCGGAACTCGCTGCGCTCGTCCCGCAGAGGTCCACCCATAAGTTCTGTAACAATTCACTCATTTGTACTTTGTACTTGAATAACTTGTTACATTATGTTATTAGTTTGGTAAAGTAACATTACTAATTCCTGGTGAAAGGCAAATTGACAAAAAGTGAATAATCATATAATCTTACAAATTTTGACTTTATATAATAAGTTATTGTTCAAGTGCAAATAAGTTGATTATTGCGGAACTTATGGGTGGATCTCTGTGGGACGAGCGCAGCGAGTTCCGCAGCCATCTACTCACCAATATACTGTGGAACTATTCAAATAAGACACTCACCTGAAATGTGTAATTTTTAAGACTTGAGACTATTGACCAAGCAAGGTTACTTTCTAATACATCATCTGTTTGATGGTTTGAAACTGTTGTCCATCATTTTGTTCAAAAGTTCCCCAAATTGAATTAGCAACAGGATTCAGGTAATTCTATGTTGTTAGGTGGCTACATCTCTGGCTTGATAATCCAGACAATTTTCCTCCAAATACATCCTTGTACTGGTGGAAAGGGTGCGACAGAGCACCATCTTATTGGAAAGTGTAATTTTCTCAAGCTTCTCCAATTCGAGGTGTCACAAGATTTGTTGTTGTATGTGAATTAGGTTTTACTCCAGCAGCAACAAATATAAGCCTGGATTTTCCTAACACATGGATACTGCCGCAGACACCCCAAACAGCTATAACGAGGGATTAATTTTTTCAATTGGAAGATGCTTTAATGGCATTTCTCTCATAACGTATACCCTATTATTTTGGGTATTTCAGGTATGGCAGTCTTCTTTATGATGATGATTATTTGTACTACGACGTAGGTAGGCAAAATCCCAAGTTATTATTGGGATTTGCCTCAGCTCTAGAGCTTCGCCTCTTTTCTCTTACCCTATCATGTTCAATAGACCCATTGTTTTCCCTATAGTTCCAATGTGCAATTTTTCTGAAGAAATTATTCCACAATTTTGCTTGCACCATAATTAAAAATCCGGTTCCTTATCTAATGTTGCCGTCTTATTGATGATGTGGTCGGTTTTATTCCTTATTACATAATGTGTTATTATTTGAATTGGAAAATGTACTCTTTTATTTCGGGCCACAGTGTAGGTATTTGATTAGCATCTGAAGGTGTTTCCTTTAGGATACTGAAAACCCTTAGCAGAAGATCCCTACTTTAGGAGTTTAGCTTTTTCTGGGTGTTTTCCTCTACTGACCTACTGACCGAGGAAGAAGATTAGAGAGGACCTCTAGACTCGTATACTTTCCGTTTGGGTGTTTTCTTTTAGGATGTTTTGTAGACGCTGTACTGGGGCTAGCTCATTTATCCCCTCACTACTACTGGCTCTAGGTTCTCCTTTTGGATTTTCCTGATGCCTTATTGTACTCTACTAGGGCTGTTCTATAGTTTTTCCAGAATCCATATAGTTTTTTCCTTGTTGAATAACTTACTAATCTCTGAGTTAATTCCTGGTTCCGGATTTCACCAATGATCCTAACCAAATCCAGATATTATTCTAAAATTCTACTAAATCAAATGGATTTTTTGAATCATTGAAGAATTGAATTTCAAAACGATAGGGACAAAGTAAAACACTGGTGCAGCTGGATCGAAAACCTGTTTTGAAACGAGAGTTTTGACATTCCTGAAAAGTATTCACGGGAAGGACTATAGATATAACTAAGGAAGAAGTCCAACATGCCATTCAGTTATCCCAAAAAAACATGAAAGCTGCAGATCCAAATGGTGTCTAGACTTGGTTTCGCCATACCAGTAACGCAAATTATTTAGCCAAGATACTTTTCGACGTCCAGGGCCTCTTCTGGCTTCGATATTTCCCTCGGTTATGAGCTTGAAAAGTAGGTATCTGTCATTCCTGAGTATGTGTCCGAAGTACTCTAACTTTCGTTTTTTAAGCGTAAACATAACTTCAAGATCTTTTGACATTCTCGTCAGCACATCTTTATTGCGCACTTGGTCCGTCCAAGATATTTTTAACATCCGTCTATATGTCCACATTTCGAAAGCCTCTAGCTTTTTACACATGGCCTCTGTCAGAGTCCACGCCCTCAATCCCATGATAGAGAATACCTGAAGATGTAGCAACGTAGTACTCGAGTGCAATCGACTCAATGATTTTCTGTCTTTTTGGGCAAGAAAACAAGCTTGGATGTTTGGTAGTACACCACCCTGTGCGATGGTTACTCCTGATAAGAGTACTACCCAACACGGATTTTATTTTCACAAATGATGATTGTGTAATCCTGGCAGGATAACCTTCTGCATGTTATCTGTCTTCATTAATCTCTGACATCCTAGGTCTGATCGGACTGGTACTTCGTCAGACATTTGTTGGTCTACCTTGATTTGTGCAGAGTTTGATTCCAGTAGAGATTTGCGATTATCTTCAGGTCTCTATCATCTAGGCCTACATCCTTGAGAATTTTCATAAACTTCTCATGTTGTACTCTGTCAAACGCTTTCTTATAGTCTAAGAAATACAGAAAAGCAGTCGACAGATAGCGTTTGTAGACGACAGGACAAGGCACTTGAAGAAGAAGAAGAAATGGAATCGACATACCTTTTCAATATCTCCGCAATTTTCCTCAAAAATCCAAGGCAGTATTGTCCCATATTTCAACCCATTCATTATTCTAGACCCCAGTTACGATTAGATAAAAATTGCAAATTTCCTCGTCGAGTTCCCACGCTTTTTATTCACCATATAACGTTACGACTGGTGATAAGAAGTTTTATATATCTGCTTACTATACGTACTCTACTATGCTCATAAATACTATAATATAATAATACTTAAACGCTGATACGGTACACCTTAATCTTAATTTCGACCTGCCTTAACAGTTGTGATAAGGTGACGTTGGTCGGTTTTCAGCTGATTAACAAAAAAAATTATGTTTGAGCAGTGGATAAAACACAGCTGATCAAAACATTAACAATTAGAAATGGAAATTAGGAAATACCTAGGTACCTACTTAATCAGGTCCAATATTGAACTATTTTGTTTAAAAGTTCAATGTTTTTAATCTGGTCTGGTTACAGGCCACAAAAAATTGATTTTCTAAGGGAACTAAGTAAGATTTTATTTCACTATACCTTATCCCTCTATTTAAACGTACCTACTGGAAGAATTCCAGGTGTACCTATGACGTAGACTTCTTTACCGACCAATAAAAATCGTTCACAATAGGCTCTGACGCACTTCTTTGATGCTTTATGCTTTCCTTATCTAAGCTCTGAAGACTGAAGAGTGACAATGACGACAATCGTTATTTGCACCTTGTTCATTTAACACGCTATAATCTAATTTTATGTTGATTTTGGATTTTGGGAGTGTGTTCGATTGTCTTTATTTTCGTTTCCAAAAAGATTACCAGTGTGGCTTTGTTATGATTCAGGTTTGTTGCCTATGGGAATCATATAGGTAGGTATTTTCTCGATGAAACACAGTTCCCAGTTCCAGAACACAAAACTAAAAAACAAACCAAAACAAACTGTGCGATTTCAGGTTATAAGACACACAATGCGACGTTGCCACTGACTTTCGTGATTCCTTACAACTCAAATGACGTCAAGGCATAAATCCTTTCTTTCTTTCACTACAAAAACTTTTTGGTTGGTACAACTGAAAACGCTAACTATTAAAAATCTACAATTTTATAGTTGTAGTGCCATAATAATAATAATGACAAGGATAAAACCATCTATTTAAATGCAATCTGTCAACGTTATACGTTACAATATTTACTAATCTGCAGCATAATATTGCTAGTTGTAGCGAATGACGTCATATTCGGTGGGTGTTTTGGGCGTTTGAAATGCTGTTGAATTTAAAATTTTTAAAGAAAATCAACAACTTAAATGTTTTCCAAAATGGTGTTTACAATACATATAAGTAGATACTTAATTTGTGGTCTAGAATTTGAAAAAAAAATGTCGCCATTCATAACCTCGAACCTCGACCATGAAATAATTTTGTTTTTGAAATTGTGTTTCTTTTCAGATGTTCAGTACAGGGACGACCATCAGCAACAACAACAGCAATGCAGCAGCACAAGGCCAACGCAATACAGTCCCGCCTCTCATCACGAAAGGGCGGAGTTGTCCCCAGCAACGTCTCGACCCACCTCTCCCTCTCCCCTAGAATTCCCCATTTACCAGCAATCGACGGAACCCGAACAGGACAATAATTATCTGATACGCGGGGACGGAACGTATTTCAGACTGGACGAGGTAAGAACGTAGCGTTTTGTCTTTTTTTATCGTTTTGTGGCTACTATGAAATAGAAAGAGATAGATTTACTAGTTGTTTCGTTTCTAGTTAAAGCCCTCTTTACTTCTCAACTGGTTTAATGTCAATTTAAACTTCTACTGCTTAAACGTGATTGTTACCAACATGTCTGGGCCCATAACCTGATTTTTCTTTCGCGAAAGTGATTGAAAACTCTACACTCTAATTAATGAAACTTTCTGAATGAGCCTAACCTAACATCCATTTTTACTGCTTTTTGAAGTCCCGGGTGCTTTTCCAACATTTTCATTAGGTATCATATACGAAACTTTAATTGTTTCACCTGCTTCGAGGAGAATTCTGGTACCATATCAAAGCACTTTTACTATAAGTACCGGGTCTTTTCAAATCACTCACTCTGAATAATTTAAAGTCCCGTAAAATCGTCACATATGCCACGCCTCCTATCGCAACGCTTCACGCACTGATAAGCTAATTAACCCCTCCCGACTAATTATACCGCAATACGCATTTGTTCACCAGATGTCACTGATGGCAAATATATAAACTGTGTATCAACTATTCACCTACTAGATGGCAGTACTTATATTTGAAATCTTTTTTAATATAGGTTCACCTCGAAGAAACGCCCACTGGTACTTTTCTGCAACTGGGAGAGCATACAAACGGAGTTTCACCGCATCAGAGCGAAGCTACACCCAGTCCTGGTTCTCCTCATCGTGGTACTGCCTTTACGAATCTGAGTTTACAGGGAGAGGGACATCAGCAACAGTCTATAATTGAGCCTGCAGCTGCGCAACTGACACAGTTGACTAGCCATATCAGTTATGCTACTGGAGGATTGGAGAGTTCGATTGCCAAGTAAGTACGATTGATGGTGGAGTTCATTAGGTACTGGATTTTATCTTCCCAAGTAATAATTTGACCTCATGCTTATTTTGTTCCGAATATGTTGAAGACTTAATCCATGCGGTTGCAAAATTCAAAATTTGGTGTTGGGTAATTTGTACCTTTTTACGTGTAATGGAGCATATAATATCTGGAGGTAATGAATGCCCTTCTGGATTGCCAGAACAATCAAGTTGAACAAAATAAAATATCTTCAAAGTAATAGGTATAGATAATCTTACAATTAACCAAAAGAGTAGAGTAATCTCTAAAATCTATAAGGCTTCTCAGACATCTGAACGGACATCTAAAGACAGAATTTTAAAAACATATAGACCAGACTCTGAGCCTATGTCGCACCTTCCACTTGCACATCCTCCACAACATTTTTTTACTGATGGGAAAATCTACCTTTTCTCAATCTCTACTCAGACATTGAAAAGCCTAGAACGGATAGGGTGGTCTGCTGTTGGGTTTTTGGAAGAACGTTTTCGTAGAGACTTATGTTTCAGATTATTTATTGATGCTATAAGCCAAGCAGGAAGTCAGTTGAACCAAGGTGAAAGGACTCATTCATCAGTCAAAAAGGAAAATTGCTCAAGAAGTGTTTATTTTCTGAATGGATGTTATTTCCAACTTATCATTCTTATCTGTCTCATTTATGTTCTATACAAGACATATAGTTGAAGTAGAAGAATTAAAAATGAAAATATTCACATTCTTTGATGGCGTTTGGAGTTTTCTTGCTACAGCCAGAGCTTTAACGCCTTGCGTGAACAGACCAGAATTATTGAGCACTGAGGAGCAAATCTCGTTTCCCTTCAAAGAAAAATGTTGTATCCACTGCCTTCACGTATTGTCCGTCGATTTTTATCTGACACTTTCCGTATGAGAAGCGAGGAGGTGAAGGACATGGCAAAAACAGGTGTAACTTCAGGTGACTATTGGCATTCTAATGTAGGGTACCACCAGCTTACATTCCTTTCCAGTATCAGATTAAAATCGACGGACTTTAGAGGCTATTGTGCAATATTTTCAACTTGTTTTTCAAACGGTCTGAGGTCTTATTACAGGATAAGGTATGTCAATTTCTTTGATGCTATCCTCAAGTCGTTGGCATAAGATTTTTTCCGAAAATACTTAGCGAATTAGTTCCTGAATAATTCAATAGTATAGAACTCTTTAGCCAAATCTATACAGCTTATCTACAAAACCAGCTTCATTCTCTCTATGGAGGCATTCATTTTCATTCACACACATTCAATAGCAAATACCATTTTATTATAACGTCGGCTGAGCTACAGTATGGGCATTCGTTTCCTGGATCATTGGTTTACCTTATGTTATAGAATTCTATGCAAACAGATGCATGTTCTCAATGTATAAGGTTTTGATCAAGAATAATGGATCATCGTTATATAGGTACCAAAAATTGCCCATGATGATACTACATGCGCATATTATCTCCTTTATTGGTATGGTAGACATTGCAGCGAATCTTTATTTAGCTCTATAATTTGCTCAACAGTTAATCCTTTATCTCCAGTAGGTACTTTGCTCCAAATCATTATTTCATATGTGTTCCAGAGAAGTAAATTTTTCCTAAGACTTCCTGAATATAGCGTTTGCATCAATGCTTAAGACATACTGATCATAGATAACTAAGACAACCTTCGTATATCGTGAACCTGTGTTTTTAGCAGTAAATCTTGAGGAGATGGGGTGCTTTTAGAAAAGTTGAAAAATTTGTAAACTAATCGTTTGTCTCATCAACTATTTTCTCCTCGACTTCTCCTAACAGTTCCAATACTTACTTGTGATGAAACGAAGTTTGGATGCAACAAACACCCACCTATACCACCCTGACTTGCATCTGCTTGTATATAGGTAATTTACTATTAAAAATTTTTAAAGTCGGAATACTATTCATTACACTTTTTAACCTTCTGAAAGCCTCTTCTTGCTCATTAGTCCAAATATATTCTACATTATTTTTAATTAAAGCCCTTAACGGCAATACAATATTCGACAAATCTGGTATATACTTGATTAAATAATTTGCTATACCAAGAATTCTTAATAGTTCTTTTTTATTCTTTGGAGTTTCTAAGGCCAAGATCGCTTCTATGTAATTACCATCAGGTTTTACACCCTCTTTAGAATATATTTGTCCTAAATATTTAACTTCACTAACTTTATATTGAAATTTCTCTTGAATAAACTTACAACTATACTTTCTCGCTCTGTCTATGACACACTTCAAAATCTCATCATGCTCTTTTTCATCAACGCCTGCTATATATCATCAAAGTATATTTGTACGTTTAAGTCACCGAACATTTTTTCATTGATTTTTTGAAAAACTTCTGGGCTTGAGGCCAAACCAAATGGTAGTCGTTTAAACCTATATTTACCAAACGGTGTTATAAACGTACAAATTTTGCTACTTTCCTCATCTAGTGGAATATGATAAAATCCATCTTTCGTGTCACAGAGAAAATGCTCTTACCTTGAAGCTTTTTTCCGATCTCCTCAGATGTGGGAATAGGATGCCTATCTAAACACAAATTTTCATTCAAATACAATGGGTCCAAACATAATCTCAAACTTCCATCTGCCTTTTTCACACAAACGATATTATTCACCCATTCCGAAGGTTCATCAGCATCTCTTTGTACCAACTTTTCTAGTGTTACTGTCAATTTTAATTTGACTGTATCTGGCAACCGTCTGCAACCACTTATATAGTTGGACAATAATTATTTTTTTAAACAATTTTATATACAAAGCATTGGCAATACATTATATTGAGCCCCACAATCTAATTTTATATTAAAAAATTCATTATCGATCAATACTGTTTCGAACCACTCTTTACCTTTCTCATTAAAGTTTAAAGAATTTATGTTACTTACTTCAATAGCATCAATGACCAGCTCACTATCACTTTCATTCCCAACCTCATGTACTCCTGGCCTTCTTCCATTGTCTCTGTATCGGCTACCACTGAAACCAGCACCAGGATTTTGTTGATTTTCAAATTTTTGACTCCCCACTGAAAAGTGACCAAGTCTGCCACAACTATTGCACTATTTCCCAAAGGCAAAACACTGCCTTCTTGAATGGTTTTTCCACACCTGAAGCAATCAAATGTATCCTGATTCCTTAGACTTTTACTGAACTCTGATTTCCTTGGATCTACCATTTTTGTTTTATTTACAGCTCCTTTCCTATTTATCACTGAATCAACTTCTTGTCCCTGAAGCCCTTTGGCTTGTAATTTTGTGGCTTCTGAAGACCTACATATTTCTTCTGCAGTTTTCAAGTCTAAATCTTTACTTAATAATTTTTCTTGGAGACTTAAATTTCGAATACCTAGCACAATTCTGTCTTTTATCAAAGACTCTTCTTGTTTCAAAGTTGCAATGTTCTCAAATCCTTTAAAAAATTATCAAAACTTTCACCCTCTCCTTGAGAGCGAGAAAAGAATTTGAATCTGTTATACGTAACATTACTTCTAGGTTTGCAGTAGTTATCAAAAGCCTCTACGACCTTCTCGTATTTTTTCTTCTCTGCGTCTGTTAACTTGAATGTATTGAAGAGATCAATAACTTCCTCACCTGCAGCTCTGTGAGGAACAAAGCTATCTTTCTTTCCTCAGATTTATCTTGTAACCCTTTTGCTAACAGGTACATCTCAAACCTTTGTTTAAATTTTTCATAATTACTAGCTAATTGCTGATCAAACAATAAAGGCAAGGGCAATTTTATATCCATGATTAATGATTATGATTAGATAATTATTACGCTACAACTTCTAACCTCACAAATTTACTTGTTGATTTCTTCATTTGTTTTCCAATATGATTCCGGCCTACTGTTGCTAACACTAAGCCACTATTTTGCCAACACCTGACACCATGTTACATATTTGTTTAATGTTTATTTTACAATAAAACAACTCAATGAACATTTAATAGTATATTACATACCGAGTAGGGAAGTTTTTCATTACTGTCGAGAGATTTATACACAGTGTGTAAAAAGTCCCGGAACAGTCAATTATTTCGAAACTGGTGCACAATATAAAAAAACTTCCTGTATAAAAGTTGAAGGTCTTAATAAAATCTATTGAAATAGGACTTTTGTAATTATACAGGGTGGCCCAAAAAGTTGTGCTACACAAAACTTCATTTTTTTCAATGAAATGATCCTTTTTTAATTATATTTTCTAATTCCTCTAGAGATTCTTAACAACAATTATGAAACATGTCATATGGCTAAACCCATTAGTTTTAGAAATAATTTGAGTTGAAGCACATAAATACGATAAGTACGATATTACCTACATTTTGCATTGTTTCGAGTTGCTTCAAAATGTTTCACGTTAAATCCTGAAAAAAAAACATTTAACTTGTGTTAAATGAAATGTACCTCACTCAAGTTTAGTCAAAATTTTATTAATAACTAAATTATTAAATACAAGCAGTAAAGTAAAATCAACAATAACTTTGAAAGAACAGAAATAAAATTAAGTGTAAGACGTTATTTTATTAAATGCTGAAAATGTCGTTAGGTCTGGTTACCATTTTGAACCAACTCGAAACAATGCAAAATGTAGGTAATATCGTACTTATCGTATTTATGTCCTTCAAGTCAAATTATTTCTGAAACTAATGGGTTTAGCTATATGATATCTTTCATAATTGTTGTTTAGAATCTCTAGAAGAATTAGAAAATGTAATTAAAAAAGGATCATTCCATTAAAAAAAAATGAAGTTTTGTGTAGCACAACTTTTTGGGCCACCCTGTATAATTACATAAGTCCTATTTCAATAGATTTTATCAAGACCTTCAACTTTTATACAGGAAGTTTTTTTATATTGTGCACTATTTTCAAAATAATTGACTGTTCCGGGACTTTTTACACACTGTGTATAGTCAATCGAGACGCGAAGATTGACTATTAATCCC